CGCTAACAAGATACTTGCAGCTCTAGTGCTGAAGAGGGATAGAGCTGTTGCTCCCAAGGTGGGGACTGTAATACAATGGGTCTCACTGCCTGCTGCTCCTGCTGTTCCCTAGGAAATTAATTTTTCCGCTCTGGGGTGCCCCCTTTTGGCTGGTGTCTTGTTCCCCCCAGCAGACCCGCGTCCTCCGCGGTGAGAAAAGCCGCTCCACATCTCCCTGGTCTGCTGGGGGAGGGGGGCACTAGCTCCGCGTCTCCCTGGTCTACTGGGGGGAAGCGCCCCCCGCACCGCCAGAAGTGGCGACAGTGGGGGAGGCACCCCGCACTAGCTGCCCCCCTCCCCCGTTTGTAACTAGGGATCCGACGTAAGTTGGATTGATGTAATCTGGGGACTGCATGTATAATCTACTTTGGACTTAACTATCTACTTTGGACTTAACTATCTTAAGAAGTTCTGTATCATTGCAAATTTTGTCGTTTCACTGTGTACCCCCTTTCTCCAGATCATTTATGAATATGTTCAAAAGGACTGTTCCCACTACAGATCCCTGTGGGACACCACTAATTACATCTCTCTGTTGTGAAAACTGATCATGTATTTCTACCCAGTGTTTTCTATCTTTCAACCAGCTATCAATCCATGAGAGAACCTTCCCTCTTATCCTATTAGAGAAGCCGATTTAAAGGATAGGTTACAAACTACAGTTAGTAGTTCTGCAATTTCACAGAACTCTTGGATGAATATATCTGGTCCCGGTGACTTTCTGTTCAGTTTATCAATTTCTTCCAAAGTCCCCTCTAATGACACTTGAATCTGGGACAGTTTCTCATATTTGTCACCTAAAAAGAGAGTGGCTCAGGTTTGGAAATCTCCCTCACATCCTTAGCTGTGAAGACTGATGCAAAAAATTCACTTTGTCTCTTGACAATTATCTTATCGTTCTTGAATGCTCCTTTAGCATCTCTATCACCCAATGTCCCCACTGGTTGTTTAGCAGGCTTCCTGCTTCAGATGTACATAAAAAATTGCTATTACTTATTGAATATTTGACTAGCTGTTTTTTCAAATTCTTTTTTACCTTCCTAATTATATTTTGAAGGCAGAAAATTAACTGTTTTGTGCAATCAATATTTTGGAGGGGAGGGAGGAGAGAGTGCTGGAGATCATGCCAAAAGCAAAGCCTCAGTATAGATTTAAAAAGAACCACGTTACATTTCTGAAACACTGATGGAAATCCACATTCAGGACTCAATACTCTATTGATTTCAAAGGTGCATGATCAGGCTAAATTGACGTGTAAAGGACCACACAGCCCGAAAGTGTCGTTTGCGACCACCACCCAATTTATTATAACATGCATGGGGGTGATAACCCCGACACGGTCTTGCGTCTACGAACGAAAACCCCAGCCTCCCGGTACTTTCCAAAGAGGCACAGTTTGCAAGTCACACGTGCCCAGCTGCGGGGCTTGTTTCGCTCTGGAGGATGGAGTAGGGGGGTTCGGGCCCTCCCTCTCTCCGAATCCCGGCCCAGGGCCCTAAGGCAGGGATCACCTATCCCTGCTCAGCGGTTGGGGTATTGCCCCTAAACCCACACGCTCACGGGCTCCACAACCCTGCCCTGGGCCACCTCCTAATCCGTCTCCCTAGGGGCAGGTCCACTCTGGCCCCCCCTGCTCACTGTTTGCCCACCCCAGCGTCTCTCCGTCTCTCCACCCCTTTCCTGGCTGGCAAAACGCCCTTTTCAGTCTCCCTCCATCGGGGCTCTCGGCATCATTGCCTCTGCGACTCGGAGTCGCTCCCTGGTGGCGTCGTCGGCTCGTGCTCCTGAGCCGTTGGGGACATCATCTGCCCGCAACTCCCGGGTGCCCTCTGCCGCCGCTTTATGCTCCCCGCGGCTCCCGGGTCCAGTCTGGGGGGCGTTGCCTGGCCCTGTGCCCCCCTGACGGACCTGCGCTCCCCCCTGGATCCCGCATGCCCCTCACCCCGAGCGCGGGGCGGGAGCGCCCCGTCACATGACATATTTAAAATTTTCTCATCCTGGGGTTCACTCAAAACTTGGGCATGCAATCCTCTTATAGTTCCTCCCACAGCATCTACCTGGGAGTGGAGCTAGCTCTTTATTGCACTTGGGACCAAAAGTACCCTGCCTCTGTCACAAATACAGTCTTTATACTTTGTAACACAAATATAATACAAATATAGGCTTTACACTAAGCATAGCATGCTGATGTAGTAAAAATCCAAAAACTCAAAATGCAGTAAGTACAACAATGATTTAAGTAGTAACGAGAATGCAAATGACACCTGTTTATTTTGGCTTAGACTCACCTCTTCCAGCTCTTGCTTTGAAGAAAACTGTGCTGTTGCTCCAACTATAATTGATCTCATTGAGAAGGACCCCAGAGGAAATCTGAAGAAAAGAGAAGAAAATTACAGCCCTTTTAAATGTATCTTCATGTAAAATGTTAATAGCAATAAACACAATCTATTGCAATATATGTTGATATCAGTTCAGGCTTGTGGTAGATTGTAAATATTATGCTGCACTGCCACAAAAGAGAGGGGTTCAATTTCTCCTCTTGGTCTCTTGTGAGCTGAGCTATCAAGGGCTCTAAGGGTGTAGCCCTAGTGAACGATGTGCCTAGTATTTCCTCTCTTTCCTGTAAAATCCCATTACGCATTCCTGTGCGTCTACTGTTGGGAACTTCCCACAGTTTTTTCTCCAAGCTTTTGATGGTAGCAGTACTGATCTACAGCTGTTCCCTTATTAGCAGAGTTGTCAAAAGGCTGCTTCCACTGATCCAAAAGAGAGGGATGGCAAGTGGATTCCCATAGTCACACAATCTAGAGCCCCCTACCTATTCTCAACCTAAACCCAACCCCACATGTAGTGGAATGTAGGAACCACTACACAGCTAGGCATGGAGTGTCTGGACTAGAGAGGTTTGAATAAATCAGATTTTGGATTGCTGACAACGGATCGATTTTTAAAGTTGTTTTAAATGAAAACATCTGAATATTTTGTGTCACAAATGTGAAAAACAAAGAGCTTTGTTTTTTCCTAAATTTTTGTTGGGTTGGGATTTTTCGTTGTCAAAACAATTCACACAAATTTGTCAAACCTGCATTTTTCACCAAATTAAGTTTTGGCCAAAAAGTTTCTCCAGCTCAAGACTGGACCCAGTGTACTAACTTGCACATTTTCACTACACCTCTTTTGAAAAGGTTTTTTATTCATGGTTCTCCAGCTAGTGGAAACCTGTTCCTAAATACCTGCTCTGCAGCTGGCAATATGCAACTGCCTCTGTAACCTTTTTATTGTTTCCTTATTTCACTGGGATAGTCTCTACAATGCATGATTTGAGCACAACTTTTCATCCTATAGCTCTCTAGTTTAGTTTAATCTCAGTACCCACAATGCTGAGATAGATAACTTGTTAAGAAGAATTACAGATGCTTGCTCATCTTTTTTACATTTTTCAAAAAAATCCTCAAAAGTTATAATTCAGTATAACAGAAACTCAACACTTATATAGCATTTTCCATTCATAGATCTCAGTAGGAGATCTAAGCTGGTTAAGAATTATTCTCCTTTTTCAAATGAGAAACTAAATCATGAAACAGTGAAGTTCCTTGCCCAATGTAACACACTGTATCTGCAGCAGAGCTGAGACTACAATCTACCACTCTTGACTTTCAGGCCTATGATCTAAACTTGCTGTTTCCAATAAAAACAAACCAGTTTTTGGCAGTTACAAGTACTAACTTTTCTAGCATTTTGCTCCAATTTTTCTTTACAAATCTCCATGCAAGTTGTTGTCCAGCTGGATTTGTGCTGACACTATAGATAACTGATGGCAGGTCTTGAGTCTTGATTGTATGTCCCTCCATTGCAAGCTCCAGCAACCTAAAGCATCAAAAAATATCCCCAGGAAACCAAAAAAGATTAAATTAGATATCTTTATATGCCTACATGATACCAAGTTTTGAAAGATCAAGCCTCTAATGTGAGTTTACCCAGGATAAAAATTATTTCTTGTTTAACTTGCACTTACAGAAAATTGATTTGTGCAACTTCAACAAGTAGTCCTGTGGTACATTAGGGACTAACAAATATACATGGTGACACTTAAGCTCATCTCATTTGAAGATACTACATATATCTGTTAGTCTCTAAGGGTACGTCTATACAGCAGAGCTAAAGTCGAATTAAGCTACGCAACTTCAGCTACGTCAATTGTGTAGCTTAAGTCGAAAAAGATTAATTTGGCTTTTGGCGCTGTCTAAACAGCAGGAAGTTGAAGGAAGAACACTTTTCTTTCAACTTCCTTTACTCCTCATGAAATGTGAGTTACCATGAGTTGGATTGAGAAGTTCTTCAACTCGACATTATTTCAAAATAAAGGCTTGTACAGTAGGCACGCACTATGTTATTTCAGAATAATGTCAGTTATTCCAAAATAACGCTGCTGTGTAAACATACCCTGAGGTGCCACTGGACTACTCATTGTTTTTAAATAAAGACTAACATGGCTACCCCTCTGAGATGTCTCTTTTTCAGTTTTATCTCTAGCATTATGAAACGCTTCAAGGGCTCATAGCTACTGGCTATCTACAACCCGACACCAGGTTGGAACGCTTATTCCCTTGGACCAGTGGCTCAGAATAAGAGGATAGATGAAGACTGATTCCTCCTGTTCATTCTCTTAACTATCATAATGGAGATCAAATATAATAGGTAAAAAAAGATGTATCCAGTCTGTGACTTTTCATAAGGGATTTGTTTAGGGACAAATGACTGTGTATCACTTAGAATATCATTATTCCTCTGTTGTTTGTAGTGTTGCTGTATCCAGACATTAGAGAGACTAGGGGGGGTGAAGTAATAGCTTTACAGGATCAACTTCCATAGTGGGAGGACGGGGTGAGAAAAGCCTGTTTCTTTCACTCAGAGAAGTTGATTCAATAAAAAAATATTATCACGCCCACCTTGCCTCTTATTCCTCATGGTTATGCTCAGAAATCAAGCTATATACATACAAAACAAGTAAAATGTATCAAGCATCTACAGCTTTCATATGAGTAGGCTTTAGTTAGTTCATTCTGAGATTCATGATCACCAATTTAACTATGCATTGAAGAAGAGTATGAGAATAAACTGTCATCCACATATAACAGATCCTACCTTGTTAGTTTTGCATCATCTTTGCAGCTTGCCAAAGCTGAACAGATCTTACTCTGTTCAGCACCTGACATGGACACTTTATACCTCTCCAAAAGGAAATTCCAGCCATCAGCTGTTTTAGATCCAACAGAATATACAGTCTCCATGACATCAGAAGGAACATTACTAAATAAAGAATATGAGAAATAAAGTTATTCAGATTTGTGATGTAGGGTTTTTAATTACTGAATTAACATCAATTAAATGGCTGAAAAAGCAGGCCCTGATCTTACAATGGAACAGACCGACATACATGGAGTCCACTTGACATCAATGGAATTTTGGAGGGGTCTGCACTTGGGGATTCCATTGAAAGATCAGGGCCAGTATGGGTCTTTTTTTTTTTTCAAATGAAGGACTATACCTTCCTCTACGTTTATATAATAATTTTCACACTTCAAGTGGTACCAGAAACCACTAACAACAATGGAGTGGGAGGAAAACGGTCTCCTAGACCTGTGTCTGGTCCAGTCAGTAAACAGGATAGCCAGCCAGAATGAGCAAGTATGGGTCACCTGACAATACAATGTATATAACACTTTCATTCAAGAACACAAGATTTTCTGTTACTGTTTCATTTCAGGAAACTGTTTCCTATTTAGAATAGTAATAGAAATGTAGCCGTGTTAGTCTGGTGTAACTGAAGCAAAATGCAGGACTATGTAGCACTTTAAAGACTAACAAGATGGTTTATTAGATGATGAGCTTTCGTGGGCCAGACCCACTTCCTCAGATCAAATAGTGGAAGAAAATAGTCACAACCATATATACCAAAAGATACAATTAAAAAAAATGAACACATATGAAAAGGACAAATCACATTGCAGAACAGGAGGAGTTCAAGTACCCTAACAGTTGAAATTCTCATAGACAGCTTTATGAGAAATTTGACCTTTGTCCAGGGGGGAGGGGGGGAAGGAAAGTAAGTATCTGTGAGTTAATGATATTAGAGGGGGGGAAAGTTAGATGTTTGTGAGCTAATGGTATTAGAGGTGATAATTGGGGAAGCTAACTTGGTAATGGGTAAGGTAGTTGGGGTCTTTGTTCAATCCCCCCGGAGAGTGTCGAATTTTAACATGAATGACAGTTTCCTATTTAGTTTACAATAAATTATTTTTTCTCTAAATCTTATATTGGAGAAGAACCAAAAAATACAGTAAAAGAAGCCTAAGCAAAAAGGAATATTAGGAAGAACAGAAATTACTTACGTTAAATTTCCTCCAGATATCATCCACTTTCTGAAAATCTCATTTGCCTTTTGAACACAGGGAAGATACTCCAGGTCACATGCAAGCTCAAGGAGATGAGAACGAAGCATTCTATCAGAAACAGAGCCCTCATCACTCCAAGTCTGACTGTCAATCACCAGCTTAAAATGCTGCAGGATGTAATGCTGCAGGGAGAACATGGCACAGTTCATTTACAGAAGGGAAATCTGTAATCTTTAGCATACTCCAAACTTCTGATAAAAGCAATAAACTGCATTTAGAGCAGTGTTTCCATAAATGTATCAAAATATATATAGTTATATTAACAGGTAACCACTGTTCTAGTTACAAAGAAAGTGGCATCCATCTTGCATCTCTTCAGCTTCATCAAGAACTATCATCAAACCAAATACGAGTTAAAGTTAATGAATAAATGCATGCATAAAACTACATGATTACAATCTTAATAGTGAACCTTGAGGTTTTCTGTGACATCAGAAATATTTCTTCTCTCCATCATGTGATAGATCACTTGTAGGTAACCCACGCCTTGCAGAAGTACTATGTTACTGGACTCATGTTGAAGATACCGTGTCAGATCAAGAGCTCTATCCAGAGATAGCCTTCCTGCACTGATAAAGAGGTTGTTTGAAATAATTAATGTCTTTCTAATGCTATACTAAGAAGAATAAAGGGGTGGCATTGTTATTAGTGATATTTGTTACCTAAAAAGCAACATAGATGTACACAGAGTGCAAAGTACGCGCAGGTGGATTCCTGCCACAAGAACCTAGCCTGTGCTCAACACAACTATGTGCAGTGGATCCTTCTCTAGGGGCTAGTTACCTAGATGAAGCCCGGCATTCAGGGAGAAAGAGCAAGTAGTGTTGGGACCCAGAAGAATAGGTGACTGCCCTTCCAGAGGACTGGAAGAGTGGAGGAGTATCTATATCTTTGCAACAGCTGGAGTCCTCTTTCACATAGGCTGGGCTAGCACCCTCCCACCCAAGGGTTCTGAAAAGGACAAGAGTTCCTCATGACCCACTGTGGGCATTATGCTAGTTGTCCTATTTCCTTGGGAGCTGGGAAGAAATGTTTCCCTCACTACCAGAACGGCCAAGGTGAGTAGAGGGTGGCCATGGTTTGCTTTCCCCACAGTGGGTCTGAGACTGGTAGGGTTGGGTAGAGTTAGGTTCTGATGTTGCAACCTACTATGTAAAACTTGTGGCAGACATCCAGTGCGGGCACTCACTATGGAAGGATAATGTCACTGGATAAAGTTGATTGGATTTTTTTTTTAAAGAAGCAAGGGAAACATTTTTTAAGGCAGTCAAGGAAGGGGAACATACAGCTCCTATATCTGGCAAAGTGAGGAGCCAACTATCCTCCCTCTGTATCCCCCCCTTTAATCCTCTTATGAGTAGAACATGAAAGAGTCCCCACAGCAGGACAGCTGGGAGCCAGTTGGGAACTATAGGTGATTAAAGAAAGGATGAGCTGCACTGTACAATGTATTGCCAGGTACTCCTGGATATTTTAAGTGAACAAAGCTGTGGCCTTGTTTAACTACATGCATTGCCTCCCTTGCCTTTCTTCCAGTGGTATGGTGTGCTTAGTACTCATGCCAGGGCATGAAGGACCAGCGTGCCAGATGTCTCTTTGCACATATCCTGCACAGGACCTATTCTCTGCAATAATCCCTGCATGCAGAGGACTGTGTGACTACTCCTTCAAGGCACCTACGGGGGTTGAAAATCGCTTCAATCCAAGCAGTGGAGACAGAACCTCCTTATAAATCTTAAAATCCCAATTTTCAATGTTCTTTTGAGGCCTCCTTTCCCTTTTTTATATCATTTAAATTAATGTCACCATGTGTGATTAGGCTTAGACATTACGGGTGGGGGAGCAGGCAGGAGAGAAAAATGATTTACACAGATCTCACTTGAAGACAACTACAGTGCTGCTCTGCATGGAGACATCACCAGCCTGTAGATGTGTGCCTTATTATAATTAACTGTTTTGTACAATCAAAGGCAAGGGTTCAGCTACACTAATAATAATAATAATAATAATGAGGGTGGGTGATAAAGAAATTTAGCTCAGAGAAGACAAATTTATCCTAGAGCAATTCAACATTCAAGGAGGGAGAGTCTTAAAATATTCAGCCCTTGAGGTCACAGGCTAAGTCCTGATAACTGCAAATTATGCCATAAGATTTTTTTTAAAAGGAACAATTATTACCTGACTAGCTGAAATGCATTGTGGATCAAATTGGCTCTGTCCTTGTAGCTGAAGAGGGTGTAGTTCTCATTCAAGAGTTTAATGATGGTGTCCCATCCATTTCCCTCATAATGCACTATATAATAGCCATTCATGTCCACATTGAATTTTATCCAACTGATATCTTCCTCCAGTTCTACAGTATCTGAAAGCAGAAAAAGTTTCTGAAACAGTTACACATTGTTAGTGATATTTTCTAACATGAGCAAAAATACTTTTAGGATATGTAAGCTTCAGAAAGGTTATTTGAAATCTATGGAAAGATTGTATGTCATTAAACCTCAAGCTCTTTTTACTAGTAGTAATTAATTAGTAACTTTCCAGAACATAAACCTAGTTGACACAATTAAATCTTAAAGCCAGATATTTATAGTATATGGTCATAGGCAATGGTTCTCATTTCATAAATGTTTTCTATAATTTTAACAACACATTTTAGCCAATTAAGTCTCTGTTCTTGGACACAGAGGTAGATCTAGGGATGTAAGCAACTAGTTGAATATCTGCTAAACATTATTTGTGGTGGTAATTTTGTATCCTGGGCCATTTTTGAAGTTTTAAAGTAACTCTAAGCATATCAGTTTTGAATTCCATTGGTCAGACCAGAGAGTTTGGAAATTTTAAGATCTTCTTTATTGTCATAAAAAAAATCTAACATTATGCGTAGTCTAAAATGGTGTCATGAAGGAACCCTGCAGCATTCCCAACTAATGCAGCCACAATTTTCAATTAACAAAAGTATAGGCAACCATGACAGTGCTCTCCAGATCCCTATGGGGTTTGTGTGTTCTGTGCCCCATTGCCTTCAGTGGAAGTTCTGCTCAATTGAAGAACACAGAATTTGGCCCTTTCATGTATACATAGTAAATAAAACAATAATTATGATGAAACCTTTTCCAAAGGGAAAATAAGTTTTTACATTTCTGACACACTACTCTGGGTATATAGAAAAGCAGACAGGGTCACCTTAATCTTCATATTAAATATTTTATAGCAATATGACAACAAAAGGAACTGCTATTAACAGGGTTCTACTCTCCTAGAAGGTCCTGTATTTGTAACTACACTGGGATCAGGAATTTTTAAAAAATTATTATTAAGTGACTACAGCGTAAGCAGGAGCTGTAATAAAAAGGCATGACTACAGAACAAAAACAGGACATTGGCAAGTCAATCTATACCTGAGTGGTTCTTCAATAAATGCTTTCCAATACTTTTGGAGTGGCTTGTGATGTAGGTCAAGGGAACATGCCAGAGGAAGCTAAAAAGAAGAGAACAGTAAAATGAGACCAAAAACGTCAAAAAGCGTTCAAATCAAATTCTACAAGCATCATTAGCATGTATCTGCACTTACCCAATCTGCATTGAAGACCACTGAGGCTCATGTGGGAAAATGCCTTTCAAGAAACGTTCTTGTCTTATTTTGATTCTTTTTTTATTTTGTTCAACAATAATCAATGGAATTCCTTTCTGGAGTGTCCAGGTGTTCATTATCTCCGCGATATCAAAGTGTTCATCAACATAATATCTATACTGAAAAGAGTGCAAAATAGAAAATTATTTACAGCAAGTACACTACCTTTCAGTTTTTGGATGATATTATCAATTGTTACTCTGAAGTCAAAAAGATCATAGTCCTTTGTTTTAAAATTACAGGCACATCCATGAAGTGTCTTAAGGAAAAAAATACAACTCTTTTAGCAGTCTTTAGGCAAATGTGTATTTAATTTCAAGATAACTATAGTGAGACCAATTCTCCTCTGTTACACAAGTGTACATCAGGATTGCCTCCATTAATCTAAAACCATTGTAAGCAAAGGGTGAAACAGATTCACTCATTGCATCCTTATCACAAGATGCTCTAATGGCCCATTTAGAAGGCTGAACAAATTTCTCTACATAAGAAGCACTTGAACTGGAGATCATCCTAATACACTGGGCCTCCAGTGCTTCCAAGATGACAGCTAGTTCTGTAGGCACCACCGATCTGTGCTAGATCAGGTAGAACTCTCTGTCCTTCTAATTATATGTAACTTTTAGGCCTAATAGTGGAACAGCTGTTGGATCAGGTTCATCAGTATGTTTCAGTTGCATTGTACCTCAAAAATAATTAAAATAGCTGAAAACTTGGATTAACTGGCCATAGTAACAGAGTGGTCACAACATATCAGTGAATCTGGCCAAATATATATATTAAAAAATGGGAGCCACACAGTCCACTTTTCAAGGCTGGTGGGCCAGACCCCGCTGCAGGTGCATTAAGTTTCACATGAATCTTAAAAGAGGGACACCCCTAATTCCATTCCAGATGTACACCACGTATGTGGTTGCCCAATGGCATCTCCTGCTCAAAAGGCAGATTTATTCCATCAGTGTTGATGTAGAGGACACACTGAGAATGCAAAGTCTACTCTTGATTTGGACAAAGATGATTCACCCACTCCCAAGAAAAACTGGAGTGAAGGGTACAAACAGCAACTCCCTGCTACTTATACCCAAAGGTAACTAACTCAGTCATGCTGAAACTTTAAAAAAAATAAACAGTGAAAAGTATATTGGATTTTTTTTGCATTGCTGCCAGTAAAACAGGTGCCCTTTCTTGTGTTTGTGTGCAGACACATACAGAAGCACACTCTAATCCTGTGGTGGGCAATAACCGGCTTAGGGGCTGGATGCAGTTCACCAAGGTTAGCCTCCTGCATGCCACCGGCACGGTATTTACCTGCACATCCACAGATATAGCTGCTTGAAGCTCACATTCCCTGCGGATCGCTGTTCCTAGCCAACAGGAACTGCAGGAAGCAGTGCAAACTCAGATGCCACTTCCTATAGCTCCCTTTGGCCAGAAATGGAGATCCCTGCAGAAAAATGGGTAAACAAAGTGCTGGTGACCTGCCAAGGGCTAATCTTGGTGAGCTGTATCTGCCTTATTGACCACTCCTGCTCTAATCTGATCATTTCACCTTTAAAATACCGATATTTTCTAGCCTGGTTTCACAAGTGATCATATCCATGTCAGGCTGTATAATGATGTTCTATTACACGCACATTCCAAAGCCCTGGCTCAAGTCATTTGCTGTGATGATATCTGACAGTGGAACTCAGTGGGCCCTTTTAAATGGATTAGAAATCCTTGTTGACCTTTTATTGTCTCTTCCTTGTCTTTATTTCCTTATCCTTGCTGTTTTCCTCCCCCCAAGACCGGGGTTAGTATCTGCAGTTATTTAATTAATATTTTTATCACAGAGATAGCCTCATGATATCATATTTTTAACACATATTTTATAAGAGATACAGATGAAGTGTAGATATACAATCTTATTCCATCCTACTTCAGCATAACCATAATACCTGTTAAACAGATACTGAAGCATCTGCTCAATAGAGAGCTACATTAAATTCCAAGGATTCAACTAATTATTTTTTTCTGAACTAGTCTAAAAAAGAGAAAGCAGATAGCAATATATACTCACTGCATTCTTAGCCACCTGACCTTTGCTGAAACAAAATTTACCAGATGTAAAGTCCTCTTCTGAACATGTCTGTAAAATACATATTTTAATAGAGGATTAGCAAATAATACTGAAAATACTAGTTACTATAGTTCTGATTTCTTATTTTTCATGTTAGCAGTTGTGTTATCCAGCAAGAGAAACATTCAGCCAGTTACAACACTTTAAAATGAGTTATTCCTACAAAAACACACTAACACTCTGAATCAAATCATCAAAACCTTCTGGTGAAATTTCACCCGGAAAAACATGAAATATGTCTCCCAAGTAATTTCTACTTCAAGTCACTCACATCCAGAATTTTGCATTTTATACCATGCTGTTAAGATCAGTAACTCACCTTTTAAGCTTGGTTCCACTCAGCTATTCACCCCAGCCACCAACAATAGTCCCACCTGTGCCTGTGAATTTTGATCTGCCTGGAACTTCAGACACTATAACTCAGTGATGGAACTGCCCTTTTCTGGTTGCCTAATCCTCATCTTCAGTTGCAGACTGACTCCAATAGAAATTTATGACTAAAGCTTCTTGATGTGAATAAACTTGACAATGCTCATAATCATGTCATTTTCAGAAACAGACAGAAGATACTGATTTGGTTGTTGGACATAATCTTTATAGATTTCACCGATTTTGTAGCAGACCAAAGCCAGTTTGCTTCCTCTCTCTCTCTCTCTTTTTGGTAATATGGTCTGGGTGTGTTGTACAGTCCCTCGTGGTTCTCCCATTTGTACTGAACATGTTCTCATTGTTTTTCTACTTGCCATTAAGTGATTTACTGCTTGGCTAATAATACTCAACTCTTTGCTGACTTGCCCTGGTTTGTATGAATACCCTTAGGTTGTAGAATTGAATATTGGGTAATTTTCCCCCCTTGAACTTGGCATATCCAACATGTGATGCTTCATTGTGTAATCTTGTCTATGATTCTGGCCCCAGCCAAATACTTTGTTTAATGCATCTTCTGTTATAGTCACATGTAACAATGCAGACAGAAGTATTAGGAATAAAAAACCTTCATCAAGTCAGTGGAATTATTCCAGGGATTGATCTGACCAGTGCACTAGATCCTGATCTAGTGAAAACGATCATAGTCTCATTGGCTTTGATGAAACTATGTTCATTTACAGCCACTGAGGAATAGGCCCATTGTCTTTTTGTCATCTAAGAAAGTTTACAAGATATGACCTTTCTTTTATTAAAAGATTTATTATGCGAAGGTTGTTATTCTCGCCTTTGAGTCCTAAAGACTGGACTAATACAATGCTTTGTCTTCTGATCATTTCAACAAAGTCACACCAAACTAAGCTGATGAATAACCTTGAAGTAATGGTTTGTACGTATTGCTAATTCCTCCAAATTTGAAATTACTTCTTATACAATAGTAGTTCTTCTTGATTCAAAGGATGTACTGAGTTTATTATTGCTATACTAGTCTTCAGGGCATCACCTCAAAGTAGATTAATCTATTTATTGAATTTTTTTGCTCCTAATGTTACCTAATGTTATACAGTGAAATGAGGCTATTTTTTCTCACAACTCCACATCTTCTGTTATAGTCACATCATTGTACATGTAACAATGCAGACAGAAGCATTAGGAAAAAACAACCTTCATCAAGTCAGTGGAATTGTACCAGGGATTGATGCTAACTCCCCAAGGCAATGACTTTGATAGGAATTAGTCACAATCAATATACTCTTCCCTTGTGCAGCTCTCTGCTCTCTGGTGTTTCAGCCAATGTGCCTCTTAAATTTTAAATCTATTTGTATTTTGAAAACTATTTGCATTTTGAAAACATTTTCCCTAAGTCTCTAAGAGTTAAAAAGACTATTTATAAAGACTGACTTTCTAAACAGCTTTCCATTGACACAGATTACAAGAAAGACACTGGGTATAAAATGCACTCCGATACACAAAGACAACGTAAGAACTATGCATCATTGTGTCCTCAAAACAAGGCTTAAATGGGATTTAAATTGCATAGGCATTGTGCTTTCCATCTGCGTGGTGTAAAATGTCACCCCAGATGTATAGGAGTGCACTATATGTTAGCTAAAATAAAAGAAGGGAACTTACATTAGCTAAACTGTTCCACAGATCGTTATTCTTTGCATTCCTATAGCTGTGTTTCTTTAAGTAATGAATTATTCCATTCTGGAACACCTCTTCAGTCAGAAAGTTCCGCAGCATGTGCAAAATGCAAGCCCCCTGCAGATGATTTGACACAGTTAAATCAGCACATAAATTCCATCTGCCTTAACATAGTTATAGCTATTTCATGCAACAACGCAAAATCGTTAACACATGGAGAATTCTGAAAACACAAAAGGTGAAAAGTCAATAAATGACCACCAAGATGAAAGACCCCAAATTATTTCAAGATAATAGCTGCACACTAACTAAAGCACAGAGCCTGCACTGAGAATAGAAGGCCCAAAAGGCCCCAAACACCACAGAAGCACTGTGGTTTTGATGGCTGGACAGCTAAAGAGAGGGTATGAAAGGGGGATGCTGCATTACCTACGTATGGAAGAAATGGACTCAGCACTAGACCTTCCTAACCCAGTGTTTAGGGGAGGCTTTGCAGGCGGGTGAGGGAAGAGATGTGATCCTGGCCAGTGGATCTGTACTTAGGTGGAACTAGTGAACACAAACCCACATGCAGCAGGTGCACAGGGGATTATGAGCCTTATTCTAACCCAAATACTCAAGTAAGTCGTTGCAGATCTGCCCTTGTCCCACTAATAGGTTTCAGGTTGGATTCAGCTCCCACATCTCTCTCTATAGAAAATACTTTCCCTTCAGGGTTTAATTTATTGCTGATTTATGTCCCACTCTATTCCACGGACTTCACTGGGATTGTATGGAGTGTAAATCAACACAGAATGTGACTTCCAAAGTAACTGATGGGCCTAATATGACTGGACTTAATCTCCCTGGCCCATAAAGCAGTGACATGAGTTGTGAACCTCAGATGAAATTACACACCCTGCTTGACATGAAACTCTTTTGGTCATCAGGCAAAAGGAGTTTAACTAGAAAGGGGGGAAAGAAGAAAGACAAACCTGATAAAAGGCTGAGCAACAATCTAAGCAGATATGTTCATCAGCATAAAAATAAATTCCCTTGACAATTCAAAATTACAATGAACAAATTTCTGAAAAATCCTAATGCTGGGACACCAGCAAGTCAGAGCCATAGGCCAATTCACTTATGTGTAAATATATAAAGAGAAATGCTAAGTGCAGCAAATTCACTTGACTGTTAATTTGTTTCAAAGGAAATATGAATGATATTGTCTTCACTTTTCTGTAGCCTGTTGAATACTGTCGCAATACATTCTGTACATACCTGTACTTAATTAACGCTAGATCAAAATGTGTGCTAGTATTATGAGATTTTACTTGATGAAAACTAATGAAGGATTGTATTTACATTGTTTATCCCTTACACCAAACTGGAGCTTTGTGAATGTAAAGATTGTTAACTTCAAAGCATGCCCACTTGTACTTGATAATAAAAATTATTAGATTCTGTTTGCATTTAATCAACAAAGGAATAAACCATGGTGTAAAAGAACATGCCCGCGAGACTTCCTTCCATGGAAAGGGCACTAATAGGATGACTTCAGGGATTGATTCTGTATCTTTGAACTGTTCCAAATTCTAATAGGGGACTATACTGAGTAGGTGGACAGAGCGCTCCAGAATTACTTTGGGTAACTCTAAGAAACCGATTACTACAACTCTATTATCATTTTGAATTTGCAAATTTTGAGTCACCTGTTAATATATCTTACCTGCATTTACCTCTCAATAAATCTAATTTATTTTTCTTAGCTAATAAACCTTTAGTTAGGTGCTCACGTTGTTTTTGGTGTAAGATTGAGAGTATCAATTGACCTGGGAGAGATGACTGATCCTATTGAGATTAAGCATAACCTAACATGAGGTGATTTTTTGTTTTAATAACCTTTCATCACAAAGTCTAGTTAGTCTGGGTGATAAGATACACTAGAGAGCCTAAGGGGACTGTTTGTGAGTCCATGGAGAGACTAATATAGTAATCCAGAAGTGCAAATTTGTTACTGGCTTGGTGAAATCTAATGACAGACTAGGCTACCAGTTTGGGAAATATGCCTCGTTTTCTGACCTAAACCTCACACACAGTGTGAACTATTTCAGACAGTGTTGTGGAGAGATTTTTTTCTTTAACATAAAGGAAATCTAACAATGTAACAGGACGTTATAGAATTCAAGTTGAAATTTGATCTCCCAACTTCTTCCTATTTTGCCTTCACTTTAGATAGTCAATAGGAAATGCCCTTTATCAAGATGCAGTGGGGAAGTTATAACAGGGTGTGCCAATTCAGGAGCTCTGTCACTCAAGTCTTCATCAGCATAGGTTACTTGGGACCTAACCTCAAGATCAATTAACTGAGTAGAGCTACAAGGCTAATTTGAGAGGGAAGCAACTCCACTTGTGGAGAACATATAATTGAGAGGGAGGAAGCACTGGAGGGAGATCTGAGAGCCCAAAGGAAGGCCAAGGTGCATAAGTCACCCATGGTAGCACACAGACAGTGCACCATCCTCTATGCTCCCACCAAAATTTTAACTGCTAAATGGAGTATCCCTTCAGGTCATCTCCCTGTCCTTCGGGGTGATCCCCCACATGCACCAGTTACTTATGCCTAGATGAACAGGACTGGGGCTAGCTCTGTTCCCTTCCCCAGAAGCAAGCAAGGGAGCTGGCTGCAGGAGTGTAAATACATAAAAACAAAACAGCAGGTGGTGGCCTGCTATGGTGTGCTAAAGGCCCTGACAGGACTCATAAGGAGACTACTGCTTGAGAGGAAGACATTAACTATATATATTGCAAATTGTTCAGACAGCCATCCCATGTAAGATTACTATTTGATTAGCTTCTTAATTATTTTGGCTTCTTTCACAGTAGACAGATGATAAATTATAATCATTTGGCCAAGCATACAATTGTATTGTGACAACTAAATGCAGATCAACTATAACACTTCAGTGTGAGTAAAATGATAGATGTTAGGGCGTGTGGAAATAAAATATGACAATTCATATTTTCTCCTAGTATCAGCACCTTTTCTCACCAAGCTATAACTTACACAGAGACCACGAGATTAAATAAAAGAAACACTTATTTATTTTATCTATTACTAGGGGTCTAAGCCCCCTACTTGCTATGCTCGCCAACTCCCTGTCCTGGGGGTAGGCAATCCCTAGTCTCCCCATCCCTCCTCACCCCCGGCTGCCAGGGAGGGGAGGGTCATCGATGTGGGGACAGAAGGAGCAGTACACGTGTTTCAAAGCAAGCTGATCTGGTGCAGAGACTCAGGCTACGTCTATACTGCAGGCTTTTAGCGCAAGAATGGCCGTTCTTGTGCAAACACTTGTGGAGTGTCTACATTGCACGTGTGTTCTTGCTCAAGTAAATTTGCAGTAAAGCATCAGAAAAGAGGGCTTCTTGCGCAAGAGCTATTCCTCTCCCCACAAGGAATAAGCCCTCTTGCACAAGAGCTCTTGCGCAAGAAGGCAATGTGGACGGGCAACAAGGGTTTCTTGTGCAAGAAACTCCTATGGCTAAAATAGCCATCAGAGATTTCTTGTGCAAGAGAGCGTCCACACTGCCACGGATGCTCTTGCGCAAAAGCACATCTCTTGCACATAGCACATCTCTTGAACAACAGTACATTGCAGTGTGGACGTGCTTTTGCACAAGACGTTTTGCACAAGAAGCCTGCAGTGTAGACATAGCCTCAGGGTTTCCTCTTCTCCCCTATCTCCCACAGGAAGCTGGTGCTGGTGCACTAATCATGGGGGTGGGCACAAGGCTGGAGTGCCAGGCAGACAGCAGCCCGAGCATCTGGCCTGAGGCAGCCGGAGGCAGTGGCAGTTCCTCAGTGGGTCCCGCAACATCAGGGCCTAAGCGCAGTGAGGAGCCACTGCTGCCACCCCCAGCCCTCCTGCAGGGGAGCCGAGGGCCAGCAGGAAGCTCAGGGTGCCCTCCGAGGATGGCCGGGGGGAGACCTGGAGCCATAGCCACCTCTTCCTCCTCTGGGGACTCTGCCAAGGCTAGGGGGTGGGGTGACGCAGAGTGAGGTGATGATGACACTCTGCTACCTTGCAAGAATTTTTTTTTTAAATATAGAGAGAGATGAGATTATTTAATGAAGAACTTTTAGAACAGATGAGAAACAACAGATGAAAATTTCATAGTCACTAAGAAAAATGGAGAGACATGCTGAATTCTCTCTCTCTATAAACTTCGGGGCACAATCCTGCAATGTGCAGCTCTCTGGATTACAAAGTGCTGCACATTCCAACTGCAAGCAAAGTCAATGGGGAGAGAAAGATAATCAGGTTTTTTGCAAGAATTAAAGTTTAGGGCTCAATCCCATTCCCACCAAAATAAGCAGATATTTTGATATTTGTTACGATACCAGGGTATGAAAGTGCTTTTAGTCAAATTAATAAGGGCTCGATCTTGCAAAGTGTTGCCATTCTTCTGGTGTCAGTGGAAGATAAAGGTACATAGCATCACTCAGTCTGAAGGGTCTTACTTGGTTTATTTTAATCCTCTTCTCCCTTCCCCGATACATTTTGTTCTTTTATAAATGCAAGTTGTTAATATTATTTCAATGCCAAGTTTCCAGTCTATGCTACCCAAAACATTATAAACCAGTCATACAACTGAAAAAATTGCCATTACAATATGAATATGAAGCAGACTTACCTTGTCATATGACACAGTATCAAACATTTCCTTTATCTGTGTTGGGTTTTCTGCTTTTGAAGATATGGGGCGGGATGAGTTCATAGAGTCTCTTCCCATTGCTGCAAAGCAGGTACCTAACAAATAATCATTCTGGAAAATTAAAAATATGGTAAATACGTATTGGAAAAAGCATCTGGATTTATAAATGAAACAGGTTATAATTTACCATACATACCACCTGCAACTCAGGATATGTGGCATCAACAGATATAAATTCCATGTATCTAGCAAACCCTTCATTCAGCCAGATGTCATTCCACCATTCCATGGTAACCAGGTTACCAAACCACTAAAATGGATTAAAATAGAGTATAAGAAACAGATAAAGATAGAAAGGAATTAAGAAAAACTGTTAATCAAGAAATAAAATGTTCATGGCAGAAAAGAATAAAGAACTTGTACCCAAATGAATCAATAATATTACTTCTGACAGCAAGAATTTTAAAAGATGGAAGTATGCCTGATTTCCAATTAATAGTTAAACACCTATTGTCAGTCACAAAAAGTTGATTAAATAAATTAACAATAAACCTATTGACACGTCCAAATTCTGGCAAGTGGTTTCCCATGTTCAGCATCACAACCCTAGTCTTCCCAAGACAGGATCTGGACGGAAGCCATTTTTTATTACGTAAAACAATGAGCCTACCACTCAGGAAATCACTGTAAGCACTCAGAAAGTTATGCTATCGTTATCAGTGAAAGTCATTTTCTCATGTGTGGCAATAATGTGAATAAGTACAAGACTCATTATAGTGCGCTGTTCATTTATCACACCAAAGTCTTAATCCCCACTTTCTTTTTATTTAAATAAATAGTAAGGGGAATATATTGAATATGGCATACAGTTAGGAAAGCCATTACAAGAATAATACTTGAATCTATTTTTGAACATGAATACCTGTGACAAGAATCAGAGGGGTAGTCGTGTTAGTGTGAATCTGCATAAACAATTTCCACTACATGCATCTGATGAATTACTGGAATTTCCACTACAGGCAGTCCCCGGGTTACGTACAAGATAGGGACTGTAGGTTTGTTCTTAAGTTGAATTTGTATGTAAGTCGGAACTGGTACATATTGTAGGGGAAACTCTAGCCAAACATTTCTCCAGAGCTCAGTTTTATTCTCCCACACCTCACTTCCCTCAGGGTATTATTCTCAAACTGAGGTGTCTGCTGAGAAAAGCTGCTCCGCATCTCCCTGGTCTGCTGGGGG